TATTAGACTTTTCACTTTGGCAAGAAGTACATCCTTATCCATAAGCTAGGGGAGGCGAAAATCTTTTTTGTCTGCTTTTCATGTTGCTGTTTGAAATTGAAGCCTTCCCTGATACCACTCAGAAGAAAATTTCCTCCTTTTTTTCCTCCTTCTATCATATTTTCAGAGCTCTGAGACTTCTAGATGTGTATGTGCCTTTTTCCAGGTTCCCTAGTTTACATGTGTTGCTTGGTGTGGCAAGTTTCAGGGGCTTTCTTTGGTTATAACTTTGACCAAACGAAGACTGAAAGCATTGCTGATCTCATCTGTGGGGTTTTTTTTATTTTTTTCTTTTCTTTTTTTTCTGCTATTGATTCATAAAGCTGTGAGCAGTGGCCTTGGAGCTGGCTGCCTACAGGTGGGGAGAGCAGTACTGTCTCAGCTACCCTTAAGAATTCAACTTTGTATAACAAGACTTTAATGTGGCTGTTCAAAATGAAAGTTTGGAGTTCATATATTCATGGCTTTACACTCTTACTAGGTCACCAAGAAAAGCAATTTTCCTGGGGCAAGTAAGCAAATGGATTTTTCAAGGCTTGGCATGTAGATTATATTGCATTCTGGAAACCAACTGATATTTTGCTCTGGGAAATTTGGACTATTGGGTGATTCCCTGGGCACTAGGAAGATTAAAAGATCTTGTTTTCTGCTTTGTTTATAACTTGTTTCAGTTTTTTTTTTTCTATGCTAAAACAACAGTGAAAAGCAAGGACATCTAATTAAAAGGTTTACCAATGAAATAAATGATTCACCACGGGAGACAGAGACACGGGAGCTGAAATACAGACATACTTCTTGAATGAAGGAGCCACCATGACAACATAACCAAAATGTTGCTTTTCCTCTGGTTTCATATAACCAGTCCCAAATCTCTTCCTAGATAAGAGCAAACTTGTCCTGGGCAAATGGTTTTCAGCATTAAGCAATTCCTTGTTTTAAAGTCTGCTGGTACTGGTCTGAGGGCTAGGGAGTAGTGGGTTAATAATTGTACCTGCATCTTTGTCTTGTCCCTGAGTTGGGGGCTGCTTCTCTGAAACAGATCGCCAAGATGGGGAAGGGCCTTATTCAGAAAGGGACTGAAAACAACACACACCACTGCTATTCATCAGAATGATCTGCTTAGAGTTTCTGAGAGATTAGAAAGATAAGCCTCATGATAGAAGTAGCTCCAAGAAAACGGTATGACTGAGCTGTGTTTGTGCCAGAACACAGCAATGTCTTAGCCTTAAGGCCTCTCTTCAGGCTACACGCAGAACTAAAAAATTGATGTAGCAGGCTTTTTCCTGGAGCAGATGAGGAACATTCTCATGGAAGAACATCTACTGGCTCAGCTCGCGTAGTAATAGTCAGCAAAGTGTGCTGAAAGCAGCAGAGTCATATTTCTGCAATGAATGCTTGACACCAAGGATTACTGCAATAACTGTGCTGAGCCTGGAAATACAAAGCTCGAGTTTGATCAAGCCTGGACAATGTTCTAGGATCCACGTGTCTGGAAACATACATTCTGTGCTTAGAGATGGGCTTCTTTAAATGCTAGTTCATAGACTCATAGAATAATTTAGATTAGAAAGGATATCTGTATGTCATCTAGGTCAGCCTCCTGCTCCAAGCAAAGCTAACTTCTGAGTTAGATCAAATTGCTCAACTCAAAATTTAGCTCAGTTTTAAACATCTCCAAGGACAGAGCCTCTACAACTTCCCTGGATAGCCTGTTCCAGTGCCTAACCACTCTCATTATGAATTTTATCCTTGTATCCAGCTGAAATTTCCCTTGCTGTAACTGCTTTTTTTTTTGCCTCTTGTTCTTTCTTTGGGCATCTCTAAGAAGAATCTGGCTCAGTGTGCTCAACAAACATCCTTCAGGTTGTGGTTAGTCTGGGTATGAAACTGTGCACTATGGGATAATAATGAGAGGACCTAAGGAGTTCACTCACAAGTGGCCACTCGGATCTATTTTTGGGTTAGTGCATCCTCAGATGAATGTAAGCAATTCATAGAGTAGATGAGCTCACTTGCAAGAAAGAGGCAGATAATAAAAGAAAAGAATTGTCATTTGGAATCATGGCATTTTAATTTGGGCAAAATTCAACCTTATGCTTGAAGGTTCTGTGCTGAGGCATGTTTGAAAGAGGGAGGTCCCATTCCAAAGAATTTCCCATCCAACCGGAACCAGACAGACCAAGTGTCTTTTATGCTTGCCAATTAGTTCCATCACATGCTGGGATTTGTGGAGGAGCCAGGAATTCCCTTCAGCTCTCCTCAGTTTCCAATGGGATGCTTTTAATCATGTGATCATCCTCCTATCAGCCCAGAAGGGATGGAGACAAAGATTCTACCTTTTATATGCTACTCCTCTCAGCACTAGTTCAAGTTTTAGAATTTCTTCCCTTAGAAGAAGAAATTTATGCCCTTCTTATGTAGAGACACAAGTCCTTGAGCAGAGGGAAAAATTTAAATTCTTCTGCTGTCTCATCAGGAGACCGCCTGAAAATTATCTAATCTCAGATAGTGACTGTGAGCTTTAAAGAATGTTTTTCATTAACACAACGTTTTCTACGTTCAAGCGTACCAAGACCACCAGCTAATTTCATAGTGCCCTGAAGAACTGTCAGGGCTAACTTGGACTAATAACCAGGAAAGAAATGCCTTGTTTTTCTATTGGCAGTCCCCCATTCTATCAGCCTTTGAGTAATAACGTTTTTACCTGACTTTATCCTGGTGACTATGCAAGCTTCATAATTTAATAACTGCAGAATTGATCTAGACAGTTTAAAAAAAATAAAAACGGCCTAATTATATTAACTGGTGAGCCTTGAGGGGTCTTGTGGGTATGTAACATGCAATTAAATACTACCTCATTAAGAATTTCCCTGATGTTGTGATAGTCTCTTGAGTAAACGCTATTTGCATGTCTCCATTCTTATCCAAGAACATCTTGTCTTTTACTGATTAGCAGCTTCTGCCTGGTCTCGGTAAAATTTGGGAGGAGGGGAAGCGGGGGAGAGGGGTGCATTTTGTAGGCTTTCATGAACAATTAAAAAATGCATTATTAAAAATCTGTTTAAGCAGTGTTTGAAGTTATGACAAAATCTAGGCTACTCAGAATGAAAGCTCATCAGATGTGCCAGGGTATTGCAGTGCAGCAAGAACTGTATCTTATCCTAAGACATTTACATTGTGGCAGAACAGCTTGAGCCACAGCAGATGCATCGCTCCTGTTAATTTCCTGGCTGCACTTTGTTCATGTTACAGCTTCATTAACTCTCTCCTTAAGCAACTAGTTTTGTATTAAGTTAGAGCATGGACAGAAGTTTTGAGTCAGTGAATAGGGCAGAATGTCAGTAGACCTTTAATTTTGCTCTAAGGGCTTAATTCTCCTCTCTGCACAAAGCTTTCCTGTGTCAATGAAGTCAGTTAGCCTGTCTCTACTAATTCATTTACCTGTTTTGTTTTTTTTTGGGGGGGGGTTGTGTTTTTTTTTTTTTTTAATGCTGAGGTTAATACTGCCTTGTTTTGGATTTATTTTATTTAGACTGGATTAAAGATACTCTTAATTGCTTGTATATCCTGCATTTAGGCTGTGAGACCTGTTTTGTTACTTCATCTTGCACTAGGAGGTTCTTTATTGCCTGGGTAGTCTCATAATGTCTGTGGGACTGGTGATTTTCCACAGGAAGAGATCTGTTCTCTCTCCTTGACTGGGTAAGTGGTGTGAGGAGTGGGTTGCAGTTTTTTTCAAACACCCCTCCCATCCAGGTCATTCAACAAAATAGTTCAGCAAGCAATGGAGCAGAAAAGACATTGTTTTCTGTCATGTGACTGGATTCTCTGGAGTCCAACTTTAAACTAGACTTATTTGTATCTTAATACAAATGTCAATTTCAGCCTTTCTCACAGGCAAAGCAATAGAAAAATATCTATGTTTCTCACAGATTCTCTGATGTGTAATAAAGTTGGATCAAGCTTTCAGTCTTTCCTTTGTGAGGCTGCTAATAGAGCCTGTCTTCCATACCCTTCAGAGGTGTTTAGGGAGTGAATATTTTTGAGACCGGTCTCCCTTTTCCAGCAAAATTGGCCAGCAGGTTCAAAAGTGAGTGAGCACATGGATATTTGCTTAGAAGATTGAAGTGGTATCTTTTTATTCCCCTTTGTTGTCTTAATAAGCAGGTAGAGTATGTCTCCTTGGTTACAGGAAATGTCAAGTGTTGGTGAAGAGAATGTTTCTGCTACTTGTTACAATGAATCTCTTGCTTTCATTTGTCTGCCTAAGTGCAAGGTTCAGGATTGTTAAGGATGTTTGCAAAGTACAGCATCTGTAATAGAATTATCTTATTGCTGCTTAGGGCACTGCAAGCATTTGGGCTCTGGAGGCTTCACTGGGAATGAAAAGAGACGTGTACTATGCAGGATTGTGTTCTCCAGTTCCTAGTAGATACCTTCAGGTCTGTTAATACTGCAGTGAAGTTGAGCTGCTGCTCCGAACAGGCTTGAAGGAGGTATACTGAGGACTGGATGAAATGACCGGGAGCTGCAGGCGTGACTATCCATGGACTTTTCGGTGACGGGCCCCCACATTGGTCATGTATAAACTGTGCTAACATAGTGTAAATCAGATTGCCTGGCTTTCTGTGCAAACTCTTCTGGAGTTCCAAAATCAATAACCCATTTAGAAAAGCCTAAATGGGCCCTGAATTAACTGTCAACAGAGATGACAGCAATAATGAATGACTGCAGTGCAGCACCACAGGAAATACCCAGCAGCAGGGGCAGAGAAAAATGGTTTTGCGTCTTCACTGTCCCAGTTGCAGAGCCAGTTTTCTGCACGGGTTTGTGGGACCAGTGTAGCTCCCAAGGACGTTCTTCCACTCTTCCCTTGGAAACAAAACAGTGTCATTTCACTTCAGTCCTCCCATAGTTTTCCCAACTTGCTGACCCGTCTTCCTCTGTTTCTCCACAGGCCATCATTCTGGTACACTGGCTGCTCACAATCTGGTAAGTGATTGATAACTGGCCTGGCCTGGGTGAGAAGAGGGTATTCCTTCAAACCGGGAGTGGGACGTTCTTGTGAAATCAGCACTCCCTATGTGTGCCTCTCTGTGTGCAAGGAGATCCTAAATCCAAGAGTGAGGTGTTTGCATGGGAGCTGGGATTGAATGCAGACTGTTGCAGGCTTAGCGTGAAGGAGGGCTGTTTTTTGTCTTGTTTGGCAGGGGGTGCATGAATTACTTCTTTCCAGCCTCCTATGCCTGGGGAAACTTCAGTGTACTTGCCGTGGGGATCTGGGCCATTGTGCAGCGAGATTCCCTCGATGCCATCATGATGGTGAGTATGAGGGTATTTGCCTCCAGCAGGCTGCTCAGGGAGAGGGTGGAGGCAGAGACAGCTCCTTTGAATCAGGGATGTTCTTTACCTGTTCCTAGTGCAGCAGTGAATAAGTCAGACTTCCCGTTTTTTTCAAGAGAGCCTGACTTTCACCTAAGCATCGTAAACCATGGTCAGAAGCACTCACTATTCCTTATTTTGCTCCTCGTGGTGAGGCATATTCGATTCATATTTTTAAACCTGCTGTTGTGACCTGTAATGTTAGCCAAGGACTCAAAGCATTTAATATGCTTGAGTTGGAGGGGCTCTATAATCCCTTCTCTGAACATTAAAGAGACTGGCAAGCAAAAATAAACAGCCCTGGAACATATACATCAGAAGGTGTCTAACACGTGTGAAGGAAAGGTATGAGATAGAAGATCACGCATTTAGGACTCTCTCTCTCGCTCAGTCTACCTTGGCCAGTGCCAAGCGCTAGCAATGTATGAAACTGGGGTGAAGGCATGACTGTGTGAACACAGATTTTCTAGGAAATAAGCCCTGTAACTGACTGTGACTCCTAATGGTCAATCCCCTGTTAAGTTCATGTCCTGTTCTCTCTTTGTTTCCAGTTCCTGACTGGCCTGCTGCTCACAGTCCTCACAGACATCATTCACATCAGTGTCTTCTATCCTCAAAACAACTATCTCACTGACTTGAAGCGTTTCAGTGTAGGCATGGCCATCCTCAGCCTCCTTCTCAAGCCGGTGTCCTGCTATTTTGTGTATCAAATGTACCGGGAACGCGGAGGAGAGTACACCTTTAACATAGGTATGATGCTTCCCTTGCCTCCACATCAGTGTGGGCCACCTCTTCTGGTGTTAGGGAGATTGTCTTGCACTTTGGACCCTTCAGCCTGAGTTCTGTGCAGCTGGATTCTGCCCCCCTTTACCAGAGAAGGGAGGTCATCCTCTTTCTCTTGTTAGTGTCTGGTCTCCCATTTTGTGGTCCTGGTGTGTCTTAGGCCTTAAATTTATGTTCTTCTCTTCCCTTGCAGACCTGGAGTCCTCGTCTGACAGCCATTTTGCCCACAATGGTATTGATGCCACTGCTGTCTCTCTTATTCAGTGTAGCTGAGAGGCTTTTCCCCTCTTTCTCCTCTTGTATTTGTGTGTGCCTGTTGGAAGACTCTGGGTGTCCTTTTCTCTTTGCCAACCCTTTTTTTTCCTTCTGAGGGAGAGTAAAGGCAGCATCCTTTCTAGCTGGATTATGCATGAGGCTGGATTTCTAACTCCAGGCTTTCTCTGGGCCTCATACGTCCTAGCTACCTCAATTGCTTTGAACCGCCATTTCCTCACCTGCAAAATGGGGCTGATGTCTATGTCACGGGACTTTGCTTGTAGGCACTTATTTTTAATCCTGGTTGTACTTGCTTGTGATAATGTGGCAACCAGAGAGAAGGGGGTATGGCTGGATGTTCTGGTCTCAGCTTCTTTGCCTCATATACCTGGTGCTAGTTCATAGCAGGGCAGCTTCCAGGACACTTTTGCTGTGTGGGAATCCACCCTGGCAAAACCAGCAGCCTGCACAGCTATCTTTTTGCTTTCCTAAGAGCTGTGCAAGTCAAAGGATAGTATAGCTGGCATTATAGTGTTTGAAAGCCATTGTTTGTGCTGCTTTGGGGTTGGCAAAGAAGATGAGGCTTCCTGTGAAAAGAGGTGAATATTTGCAGGGGAGGAGAGGCTAGGAAACCAGTGGCTTCAGGGTGCTATGTGCACCTCTCTGCTAGTGTAATGTGGATGTCTTCCCTGCCAGCTTGTGCAAGTGCCAGACAGATCTGTCTCAGCTGGATCAGAAGGCTTGCGTGCCAACTGCAGCATCTTGCTGTGGGCCTTGTTTGTGCCAGTTTTTATTAGCTGCTCGCTGTGCTTGTAACTGTATGCTGTGGAAAGTGTAGGTATCATTGAGAAGGAGAGTAACTCGCCCTTTGCTTGGAAGTTGGAAGTATTCCTTCTTTCCATCCACGCTATCCTAACACAGGCACAATACTGGCTGAGTCTCTTCTCAGGAACCGGCTGAATTCAGTCATCTTGTACTACCAGTTTCATATCCTCTTTTGAACATTTCTTGCAACCTTTTCAGTACAAACTGGGTACTGTGGTTTTGTGTTGAATGTGGTTGCCAAATAACCTCTCTATGTTGTTTTCCTACTATCTGGCACCCTCATTTTGAACTCAACTCTCTCATCTGTTTCCTGGTCCTCTCTGTCTTGTTTTCTTTCCGCATAGAATCCATTTCTGTTGCTTGGCAGCATCCTTGCTGCTTAGAACAGGGCCTGTCACATGATATGGGGCCCACCTTTGATTCAGAGTGCTTCCTAGCCATGGCAGACCCGTGGCCTAGATAAAGAGCTGTCCTTGCATGCTCTCTCTCTTTGTCCCTTGCTCACCCTGGGGCAGTTACATGGTTTTGTACCACTCTTAACACCACAGCCAAATTGCTCCTAATGTAGTTGAGAGCACTGCTGGATTCAAATTTAATGCCCTGGTATGACACATTTGAGGCACAGCTGGGTTGTTGGGAAGAGTGGTTCATGGATGAATCATGCTCTGAAATCCATGCTGACTGTCAGCTAGCCGTGGTTCCTGCTGCTTCCATTTGTTGCAGGATATATTCATTTTTCCACTAGACTTCATAAACTTGATCTTGCTGAAATACGCTACTACATCAGCCCATCTGTTATACTGATATGTATCAGTGTGGGTCTTGCTTTCCACACAGCCGCGTAGCTACCGGGAGAGCAGTTCTCAGTGAATGAAATGCTCATATGATAAGGAGTACGTTCAAAAGCACCCCAGTTCTTTTGCCTTTGTTTGGAAGGATGAGTTCTCTTACCGCCTGTCTGTGTAGTGAGGCTGACAGAACACTGGTGCTGGGGAGCTAGTAGAACAGCTAACGTGGTGCGGTGCTGAGCTGTTGGTTTCTTCTAGGGGACTCAATTCTTGCGCTTTTATTTTTTTCCCAAGCTTGTTCTCTTCTGTCTCCATTCAGGCCTCATCCGTGCAGGCCAGGATCGCAGCACCTATGAGCCAATTGATCGTCAAGATGCCTCTCCACAGTGGCCTGAGGCGAGCAAGTCAGGCCAGCATCCGTACTGAGGCCCTCGCCTGGAACAGCAAACAGATACCTCCCTCGCCCAGTCCAGCCTTACGTTCCTCCCGTGTCTGTTCTGATGGAGCAAGACCTGCTACTAAGCAAACAGGAGAGGATCTAATTTTACTTTCTTCTGCCTCCCTGAAGGTTAGGCAGATGGTTTCCTTCAGTAAGTCCAGAAGATCTGAGATGCCATGTTAAGTGCTGTGACTCTTTGTAATCACAGTACGCTCTCCTTCCTCCCTCCCCCTGAAGCTCTTCTCTGTCTGTGTGAGTGGAAGCATCTTCTGCAGTCTGCCATGTCTTGTACTGTGTGTGCTCTTTACTGTAAGTAAGGGAATCAAAATATTTTTGGACGAGCTGACTTTAAAAGACTCATGGTCTGCCTTCAAACGATACAGGAGTTTAGCCCGCTTTTATGAAGATATATCTCCAGGAAACATCTGGGAGTTCTGGAGCACTGGTTTTGACCCTATTATTTAACTAAGATTTATGATGAGAAATCCCCGTGCTAGCTATGGTGGTTTGCACGCAGCTGGGGTTGGTATAAAATGCTCTTACTGGGCCAGGGAGCTGCTTGTGCTTCCAGTATCTAGCCTTGGGTTTTATTCATTGTGGCTTATATGCAAACCGAATGTCCTTCAGGATGTTAGGATGTCCTTAAAATGACTGTTAAATGTAGGTTGCAGATACTGTGCCTTGAAATATCCTTTTGCCTTCAGCTGCTTATCTTAACAGAACTTGAAATGTTACATTTTTTCTAAGAAAACTATAAAATGAACACAGTTCTTCTGTGTTAAAAAAGAATTCACTGGTCACCTATGTCTCATTTGAAAATGCAGATATTCCTGATGGGTTGTGACTATAGCCAGGGAGCCTGGAAAAGTCATTACAGGAGGAGGTCTGCAGGGCTTCAATGGGTTTTAGTCTAAGCTTTACTCAGAAAAGTAGAGGGTACCTTCACTGCCCATGCTCTGCTGTGCAGTGAGCTAGTAAATTAACACTGGGGAAATGAAAAGGTGAGTTTGTGTGGCTTTTTACACTGTAGTGACGAACAACTTGGGGTGTTACAAACTTCAAATTCTGATCTTACAATAAATCTGCCCTGCCGTGGCTTTCAGTGTAAAAACCCTAAACAAGGAAAAGGTGTCCAAGAGGTTTCCTTGGAAGAAAAAGAGCATGGGAACATTGGCAGAGTGAAAACTGTGGGGAGGATCTGTGTTTTTCTGAGGCAGGTTCACTTTTGAATTACACATCTGTTATTCTACAATTGCATTTCTCTGACAAGACCTGTTGTTGCATTGACTCTTCAGTGACCACGAGTCCCTGTTAACTTTGCTCTAAGCTCTAGAACCATTATATTTGTATGTTTAAAAACAGATAGTTTTCCCCCCCACTGAGTTTCATCACTTTAAACATCAACAGATGCTTCATCCACTATGCTACACAAGCAGAGCAGTGATCTGTTGCTTTGCTGCTGTACCTGAACTATCCCCATTTATGCTTGGACCAAGCACATGTTAAATGACATAAAATTGCAGTATTCTGATCTACTTCTCTGTGTGTTGTACGTTCATTTTGCAGGTAACTGCTGGCATAGGCGTGCAGTAGGTGGCAGGCGTGCTGCCGTGCAGTAGAGCAGAGGACTAGGAGTGAGTCTGCTCTTGTGATCAGATGGGGAAGAATGAAGATTAGGTAGGCAGAAGTTTCTGTTTTTGCAGAGTTGCTGGTTCAAGCATAGAGCAGACCTTTATATTCAGTTAACTTTTTTTTTTTTTTTTAGGCCTTTTCAGCTCTGCAGAAATGTACAGTGGCAGTGCTGATCCCTGAACAACACATTTAAATACTCTGGTGATGGGCTGTTTTTTCTTCCCTAGACCTGCAGGACTCAGTGGACCACACGTTGAAAATGACTTTTTAAAATGTAATGCTTTTGGGGGATTTGCATGGACACGAGGGTACTTCTCATGAGGCACGCCCAGACATTTTCCATACTACAATATCTGTAGGTGCCCCTTCAGCTGATCTGCTGTGCACAGCGAATTCAACGGATCTCACAGCTCAGAGGAGCAAAGCTGGGCAGAGGTGTTGATATGCTTACTGTGAATTAAGGATGCCAACTTGGGGCAGTAAATCGGAGACAGGGAGGACAATAAAAACCTGGCCTCTCTCCTGGCTTCTAACAACCGGTTCTTATTTCTGGAGGAGGGTTGTTGTTTAGACAGTGCTTAAGGCAAGCACCAGAGCACTCTTAGATCCATACCTGATTTAGCACGGCGTGCGGGGGATTCATTAAGCCTGTTGGCGTGCCCGAGCACAGCCTTTCCGTGCCGGGAGGCGGCACGACCCCCGGCTTCACCACAGGGCTCCTCTTTCAGCCTCTCAGCAGGGTCCCCGTCAGCCAGACGTGCAGCAGGTGTGATTCTCCGCTAAATTTTTAATCCTCGGGTACCGGTGTGCCCTGGATTGTCCGTTAATGAGCTGACACCTCTCCAGAATTAAGGATAAAATACAATAAAATGAAGTCTCCCCACGTAGCTCAGTCGCTGCCTCCCTCCCCGGCCCAAAAAACGTCTCAGGCGGCCCTGAGGGG